GAAGAGCGTATGGTAACATAATTGCTTCGGCTCCTGAAATGTAGTGCTATCCAAAAAAGAATTTGCATGACAAAATAGGCCCACTTGGTGCGGAAAGTTTTAACGAAGATAGCATCTAACGAAAACGACGAGTTTGAAACGATGTTTTGACAATGTCATAATAATTGATGGAGACAATGAGCGAAGAGTAACGATGATATATCTGCAAAAGTAATAATGAAATTTGAGTTGCTATCTGAGCGCAACTGTAAGCTTACCAATTAATTGTCGCTTTCCATTAAACGCCAAACCACCTAAGAAATTTGTGATCACTTTCTTGTCCATTGATATTAGTTCAATGATTTGTGTTGACGTTAACTGATCTATTGTTGAATTCCCTAATAACCGATTGTTAAGGACCATAAATTTGTGCATCTCAATGAGCGGATTAGACACACAAATTTGTTCGGGTCTGAAATTGGGCATGTTTTGAGTGAACAATTCGTCTAATTGAAATGCTAGGGATGAATGGTTTTCGGTCATTTTTGGGGAATGTCTCAGATTATTTTTGATATAGACAGAGACACTTACGTGGATACGTTTGAAGATAAGACGAGATGCATGAGATTGACGAAAAGACCCGGTACTTGTAATTTGACACAAATTGATGGGTAAGTAATGCTTCGATTGCGATCACCATCCACTGATAGCAACTGAATACTGTTCCAGAGTTGCATCACCGATTTTATAGTATTTACACCCAATATATTTCCATCTTCTGCATCGGCCGCTGTCACAATAACATAACCAGATCGCTTGATATCGTAACTAATGAGAAAATGCTGATAAGTCACTGATTGCAAGAGATGATGGATTGATAAGCAATTTTTTAGGAAAAACCATAAGAACTGAGCACAGATAGTTTCATTAATTGTTAATTAATCGTTAGTGGTCACTCGACGTCGTTAATTTCTTCGATTTATTTAATTTTGAAAAGTTAACCCAATAATATCGACGATAAGTTTTCAGCTCGCGTTAATCCGTCAAAATTTTCGTAACAATTCATTAAAAAATTTTTGAATATCCCTTCTCACAGGAAAGAATTTCATTTTGAGGCGAACTTGAGAGTATCGAGTGCATTGAGCATACTGTAAAAGTATTGTTGATTGACTTCTTAGAAAGTTCTTGCAGTCCCTCACCGATGCTCTCGAAACGCTCATTTGCTCTCAAGAAATAGACACAACAAAACTGACGAATTCAACGGTAGTAAATTTCCTGATCAGTGCATCAATTTTTTGATTATCTTCTGAACTGCTATTGAGAAATAACATATTATCAGGACTAGAGAGGATTGCGATCAACTGTATTGTTGCCGGGAGGGGGGTGGGGGATGACGGTCCTCCATAAAGACAAATGGGACGAAGAGCACAAAACGTGAAATACACTTTCATGTAACATTCATGTTATGTATTGTGAACAAAATTTTGAAAATGAAAAAAAATATATGACAGAAAATCCATTGATTCGCCTTATCCAGCGAAAAATCAAACGATTTAACCCGCAGAAAGTCGAATGCTCTACGATAGAACACATCTTATTATTATCATCAGAATGCATTTCTTAAAATGACTGCACTTACCGTCTAATTGCGTAGAATGGATCTGAATCATTTATATGGAACAACGAATCAAGTTGACGGAATTCATAATGTGCAACTGTGTTCATAGGTATGTAGAGATCAATTTGGTCCTTTAGAAATGCTTGAGGATATCTCGAGAGGCCTAATGACAGCAATACGGTAGTGATTAATGGCACAATCATAAATGGCCAAGGAAACAGCAAAACATAGCGAGCGTATTCGCTGAAGAATCTCGTGAAGCGCTTTTCAACGCAATCTGCCCGCATCGTCGCCACTAAAGTCGATCAGCGTTGTCCTCACGATTATTTATGAGCGATTTCATTGCATCATCACTGCTTGAATTGATCAGTGCTGGAATGCATAAACATGCTCAATGCGACACTCAACGATTGAAAGAATGTAACGTGACTTAAATTCTTTTAAGGAATTTCATCGGACTGATCATTTGCTTGGGACTGACATTTATGAACGATCAGCATCCCTCACCTTACTAAACACACTCGACTGCAAACAGAGACACAAATGAAATTGAAAGAATGCTTCTTGAATCTTACGTTAGTAATAAACTGAGCAGAATTAAAAATACAAATGGAAATTATTAGATGAAAGGCTTAGAATATCTGACACATCATCGTTAATAGTTTATCTTCTCAAGCAACTTATATAACGACTTATTCACGTCACTCAACAATTTGACAGTTTGAATGTTTCATGGGAATGCAATCATTGAAAGATGCTTATGTTGTGAATGAAATGAAAAGTTCGTTGAAGTTTATAAGGAAATGAGATTTGAGAGGCACACAGGGATAAACAAGCGGTTTGGATGTTTTTAGAGGGGTGCGCAATGAGTGCGTTACTCTTTGCTCACAATCGTAATGTTGACCCATTTAGGTCTGATTATTCAATCAGTTCAATAAACACACCTATATGAACATTTTACCGATCAATGCACCTCTTTCAAAGAGATTCAATAGGGCTCATGAAACATATACAGGTTATTGCTGTCCGAAATGAATAAATAAGGGAAAAATATGCAAAAGTATGTGATGGTGTTGTCTGGTGGCTGTCTGATCATGGGTAGCGATTCAGTGAACCGCAAGGGAAAGGATTATCTCTTCAAGTTCGAATATATCTCATGATTGATATCTGTAATAAACTGAAATCTTGACAACTCATCTGATAATTTGGAAAACTTTAANTCAACTAATTTTCGAAGTTATTGGCAACGATCGATGTTGTGTAAAGACGCAGGATTCATGTGAAATTGTCAGCAGTAAACGTGCATAGCAGAGAAGAAGGTTAAAGTTGAAAACACATTTATTAACAAATGTAATTGTTAACTGTTTGTTTGTTTATTTACGATTGCAGAAATTCTAAAACTCTGAACTGTTCGAATGTCATTCGTAGAATATGAAATCAGCCTTTTCATTAATGTTTATATTCGCCTCTGAAAGCATAGCGAAGTCATGCTGAACGTAACAATAACGAATGGAGGTCATTGAAATTTGTGGTTCGTTCGCAATAAAATGCTGAATAGGTGAATTCAGCAGCAATTATAAATTCAGCAATAAAAACATCACTGCTATCCTCTAATATACTGCTCTGATTTGAAATTTGCTTCTGCAGATAGCAGCAGAATTTATTGAATTCTTTCGTAACACTTTCCGTTCGTTGCATTAATCGAGAACGAATTTCGAATGGATTATTACAAGAGAATTAGTAACGGAACCTCATTTTTCGACATCGTCGATTGTCCAGCTGATCGCGCTCTTTCTGAAACCAACTCAACGATGAAAGCACGCTTTGGTTAGTCTTAAAAATTCGTAGAGAATGAAGAGAGTGGTGTGATACTCTATTACAGAAGATATAGCACTAATTTATTACCAGTTTCCTACAAAATACTTCATCAATGCAATAGTTTAGCACTTTATTCCTTCTACAATTTCTAGCCTAATATTTCTTATCATTTCGTTCGGTGTCGTTTTAAAATGACTAAGATTTTCGATAAGTAGAAAAAGAAAAAGACTGAACAAAGTCAACTGTGAGTAATTCAGTGAGCTTGATGGATGAATAATACTAACCTCTGAGATGTTTTTTGTAACCTTTTATAGCCAAAATTTTTCTAAATCCTTTTTTCTTGCCATCGCGTTCTCTGATTGCAAAAACGTTACCCATAATAAATAGAGCTGCTCCAATGCTACCAACCGTACTCGCAAGGATTATTTCAAAAATCTGCATAGTAATGAGATTGTGTCATTTTATCAAGTGATTTTCTTTTCACGAATAAAATTTGCCTTTGAAGCATATGCGACAGTGCCACTTAAAGTGGTCACTTAATGGGGTGTGAAGAATGATCAGTCGTGATCAACTGAAGTTAACTGTAATTGAAATGGATCAGCAAAATAGCACTGCATTCATTCGAATTCAGTCGATTTTTTGAAAATAGTTCTTCATCTTTATCACAGAAATATGATTGGGATCCTTGTGATGTGATTCTCACTGAAGAAAGCGTTCGTCATGATTTGGTTCAGATTATTGACTAGTACAATAATTCTTGAATTGAACTTCTATTTGTCATAAACAGAACAAAAACGACTTACTGTTAAAGGTTGTGTTTGACCACTTCTGCAATCAGTAACTTATCAAACAAATCTTTCATGCATCTAACTTGCAAAAGTTGTTTTGTCTATCCGAAATGTTACGTTTTCTTTAGTTTCTTTATTTGGTTCGTTGATTTTCAATGCAAATCGTTGCTGGTGAATGAGCGATTGTATATTACTCTTTGCCATCAATTGCTTTTGACACGTGAGAATTTTAACGAGAACCAGAGAACGAGATTCTTCCAAATGATACCCTATCCAAATTAGTTATACCAACCGTTCATAACTGAGATCTGTTTCATTGAGAAAGTCGAACCGTCCAACTGAAATGTGCATTACATTGTACAACCTATGGTCAATGGGATTTACATTAAACAGCCAATATTTTACTCGTCACGAAGTAAATGATCATGAACTTCTGTATAAGAAAACGATCGACTAATGCTATAAGAAAGGTATTCTGAAATGAGTGTGCTGTTTTTTGATGAGTTTGAACTATTTTGTTGAATAGTAGGGATTCTGTGAATGAGAAGCAAATGAAAGCAATAGAAATTATTCACCTCGTACAGCGCTGAGTAAATTAGTGTTATTATTTAAATGAATCTAAATATTGAATATAATCAAAACACTGATAAAATGACTGGAAAGCTAAGTTCAATTATTTTTTTATACTGTCATCCTCGTTCGGGGCGGTTGCAGGCGTATCAGTGTTGCGGGACGTATTCGCAGCTTTTTCATAAATTCGATGGATTCATAAATTCTTTGAAAAGGCACCAATTAAAATTGAATGTATTTTATGCAAACAGCAAAAAACTACCTTAAGCTGAGCACAAAATGAGTTAAAAAATAGCAGCAAAATTAAGCAACTCTTTAGCAATATGCTGAAAATATACAACGGATACATTATTCATCACGTCATGACTCATCAGGTGTTAGCGTCCATTTCGTCAAACGATTATCATTCGAAGTAGACGATCTTTATCATAATTATCAGCACAATTTTGATCTCATGATAAAATTTTCATTCAGTGAAGAAACTGCATAAAGGAGATTTTGTTCTCATTTCCAACCACATTTGATGGAAAATAAATGTTTATTTGTATCGCTTTAAATAGTGGATCATCCTTTTCACCATATTGCGAATAGCTAAAGATACCTCAAAAACTGCCAGCATCCATAAATGCTATTCATCAATGAGCGCAAATCTTCATCAAAATTTATGTTCAAAAATTGATGAAATACTATGAATTGATACTCAATTATCAAGTGAAAACCGAAACAACACCACCTATCTTGATGCAACTGTATGAAAATGCTGATAAATTCATCGTTGAGGTTATATCACACTTTAATTTGCTTGAGAATAAACCCTCATGCAAAATTCAGTTATATCTGTTTTCGGATATGCGAAGAACGCAACAATCGACGTTCCGAAGTGTCCTATCAGAAGAGTCTGAATATCACAATTTGAACATTAAGTTGCGTTTTAAGAACATTTTGTAGAAGAAGGATTAGCAAAAGTTTCCACTCATTGCGTGAATATCAAAGCGTTGCAAGGCTGTGAAGTCTAAAAGTGTTCAGTTTACTTGATGTGAAAATATGATAAGGGTTGCTATTTGTCTC